GCCTCTCAGGGAGGGGCTGCGTGGATCCCAGCCCCGCCGTCCCGCAGCCAGATCATGACTCACCCTCCCGAGCCTCTTGCCTCAGTCTGTCAACTGGGCGGGTCCCGCCCTGCTTGCCTCACAGGGCGGCACCAGCGTTCCCGTGAGACACAGGGGCGTGTTTGTCAATGGCGAACTGTGTTTCCAGCGGCAGATGCTGCTGCTGCCTGCCCAGCTCCTGCACGGAAGATTCCTCCGCCCACAGGCGCCTCCGTCCTGGGGTGGGGAGTGTGTGGAGGTGAGGCCCGTTCTGAGGCGATGCTGGAGGCGTGGGCTCCTCCGCCCTCATCCTTTGCAGGGCGGGGCCCGGGTCCGGTGTGGGTGGTAGGGGACTCGGCCATCCAGCTCGGGAGGCGGGTAAGAGAATTCGGCAAAAGAGAGTGAGGGGAGAAGGGAGGCGAAACCACTGGCCAAAGCCTGAGGCTAGAGCAGTGTCCTTCGAGCAAGGAAATGGCCTCTTGCCCTGGCCACTTTGCTCAGTGGTTAGAGTGCCAGCCCTCGGACCAAAGGGTCTCGGGTTCGATTCCCAGTCAAGGGCATGTACCTGGGTTGCAGGTTCCATCCCTGGCCGGGTCGGGGCATGTGTGGGAGGCAACCAGTCGATGTGTCTCTCTCAGGTTGATGCTTCACTCTCTCCCTCTCCTCCCTCCCTTTCATTCTCTCTAAAAATAAAAAAGGAAATGTCGCCCGGCCGGCGTGGCTCAGTGGTTGAGTATTGACCTATGAACCAGGAGGTCACGGTTTGATTCCCGGTCAGGGCACATGCCCGGATTGCAGGCTCCACCCCCAGTAGGGGGGCGTGCAGGAGGCAGCTGATCCATGATTCTCTCTCATCACTGATGTTTCTATCTCTCTCTCCCTTACCCTTCCTCTCTGAAATCAATAAAAAATATATAACAACAAAAAAGGGAATGTCATCTCACATTCCATGCTCCTGGCACGTCCCTGGGCCACGCCTCGCGCACAGCCGGGATCGCATCTCCCAGGTGTGGGGATTCCTGTTGGGAGCCATCGCAGACCCTCCAGCTTTGGGGGACCCCTGGAGAGCCCAGGGGGTGGAGGGTGGGAGTGAAAGAAGGGAATTGCTGCTGGGTTGCCAGAAGGCCACCCCATCTTCTTTTCTTCGAAGCTGTGCCTGGGGACCAACATGCCGGGTGGCCCCCTTTGGGTTCAAGCACTTGGATTTGGGGTCATGGAGACCCAGGGGCTACTCCATGGGGGCAGGGATATGGGAGTGGGGCTACACTAGGTCCTCTGCAAGGAGCCCCTGATCAGAGGTCTCCCCGCTTTTTAAAAAATATATATTTTATTGATTTTTTACAGAGAGGAAAGGAGAGGGATAGAGAGTTAGAAACATCAATGGGAGAGAAACACTGATAGGCTGCCTCCTGCACGCCCCCTACTGGGAATTGAGCCCACAACCAAGGTACATGCCCTTGTCCGGAATTGAACCCGGGACCCTTCAGTCCGCAGGCCGACGCTCCACCCACTGGGCAAACCGGCCGGGGCCGAGGTCTCCCTTTCGTTTCCCTCCCCCAATCTAGCCCAAGGCCTGCAGTTTCGCATTAGGGAGCCACAGGCCAGAGGAGCAGAGGACTGGCCCCAGGTCGCACTGAGCACAGGAGCGGAACCTGGGCCTCCCGTCCTAGCCCCGCGCTCCTTGCCAGGCCTCGGAGCTGGGCTTTGCCGGGGACGGCTTTCCCGAGGGGAGCGTGGATGGAGCCGGTCGGCAGCAATGGCCTGTGGGCCGCAGCCGTCAGGATGGGCCCCTAGGAGAGGGGGCGAGGCCTGGCTCACCCGTGAGGGAGGGTGAGGAGCAGTGGGACAGCGTGGCCGCCTCTCCTGTCTCACGTGCTGAGCCTTCCTGGGTCCCCATCGCTCCTCTCCCTCCGTCCTCGCGATGCGCTGTGAAGGCTCTTGCTGTCGCCCTCCGCTTTTAGATCTGGTCATTACGTTGGTAAACGTTCTCTGAGCCAGTGCTCTCTGCCAGGCCCTGTGCCTCCGCCCCGGGACCCAGAGGTGACCCGGCGGACTGGCCCTGCCCCTCTGGGCCCACCGTCTGATGAGGGAGGCAGCATGGTGGCTGCCTGGCGGGGAAACAGCTGCATGAGCTGGGACCGGCTACTTCTCTCTGGGTCTCCATTTCTCAGCTGAAGATGGTGAGAATGAAGTCCCTTCTTCCTAATATTTATAAAGGGCTCCGAACAGAGCCAGGCACGTTGAAAGTGCATGTGTGTGTGTGTGTGTATGTGTATGCGTGTGTGTGTGTGCGCGCGTGCGCACACACGCGTGCGATTAGGGTTCTCAAAAGGGACAGCTAATTGTAGGTTGTGAGCCAGTGCTACCCAGGAGGGAGGTAAAAGGGGACGAGGGGGAGCTTTCCCGAGAGCTGGAAATGCTTTCTGTCAGATGGGGGTGTGGGTTCCAGGGGTGTGTACAGTTGTCAGAATTCATTGAACTGGTAATAAAAAGAACAACAGAATACCTCCTAGAACTAGACTCTTGGAATTGGTGCATTTTGCTGTACGTAAAGTATACCTCAGTAAACAATGTACATCAAGGAAGACAAAGAAAGGGTGGAGAGGAAACGAGGGACCCTTGAGACCCTCTTTAGACAGCGTAGTCAGGGAGGGCTTCTGAGAGGAGGTGACACTGGAAGGGTGCCTAGAAGAGAAGAAGTCTCTGGCTGTGGGGAAGGGAGAGAAGGAAGCTGAGGCTCTAAGAGGTTTGGGACCACACCCCGTGGAGGGATGGAGAGTGGCAGCTGGGAGATTTCTTGGCAGCTGGGCCCGGGTGGGCCCTGCAGAGAGGCCAGGCCGGTGGTGGCATCTGCGTTTTCTAGGGTCAGCGTCTCCCTGCTCCTGGGCCTGTTCTCGGGGCCTTGGCACTCAGAGAAGCACTATTTTAACTTGTGTGGGAAATGAGTCCCTAAATATGCACTGAGTGGGGGGGGAGGCATCGGGAAGCTGTGGCTCAGGGCAGCTCCGCCTTCCTCCACCTCAGCGAGCACAGGGTGCAGGGCTGTGAAGCTCTCTGCCCGCCTCCTCTCCCCTCCGAGACCTCAGGCCCCCTCCCGCCACAGCCCCTCCCGCATCCCCGCCCCCTCGTTGGGGAGCCCAGTGTTTGGGGCCAGGCCCCTGCCTGGGGTCCCCAGCTTTACAGACCTGCCTCTGCCCTCAAGCTGCTTCGGCCTGGTGGGAGGGACAGAGGCACAGACCATGGGGCAGGTGCTGGGAGGACTTCCAGAGGAGGAGGCGCCTGAGCTGAGCCCAGGAGGCTCCTCCCCAGGAGAAGGAGAGGGCGAGAGTGCGGCCTGTGTGGGACCAGCAAGTGCATCCTCTGGCTAGAACCCCACCTCCCTCAACGAGGGTCCTCTCTGTCCACAACCCTGTGCCATCCCATGTGTGCCCTGGCCTGTGGCCAGAGGAAGAGGAGTAAGGGGGGAGAGGAAGGCGAGCCCCGGGCGCCAAGGGGACAGGGTTGGGGGTGGACTTAAAGGGGGGAGAAGTGAAGGGCCAGGTGGGCTGAGGACAGCACAGAGAGTGTTCCAGCTGCGGGCTTGGGAGTGTTTAGAGAAGAGAGGGGGCTTTGGTGGAGGTAGAGATGCCAGAGTGAGGCAGAATGAGGAGGGGTCCAGGAGCCAGCCTGAGGTCCCAGCAGGACAGGGTCAGGTCAGGCAGGAGGCCAAGGAGGAAAGGGGTGCAGAGAGACAGAGCAGGGAGGGAGGATGGTGTGTCTCGGGTCCTCTGGCTAAGGACTGGCGTGCCCCTCGCTAGAGCCACCTCAGGACACAGTCGGGGCTGATGTGGGGAGTGGGACGGCCGAGCCTCTTCCCCCAGCACCGTGAGCAAGAAGCTGGTCGGTGGGGCTGTGTGGGCACAGCATGGAGGGGCTCTGTGAGCTCAGGGCAGCAGGAGCAAGCGAGCCCTGGTTCCCAGGCTGGGCAGTGGAGCAGGGCCCCCAGAGCTGGAGCTCCCTGCACCCCCAGGCTAGAGGCGAGGTGAGCTGCTCCAGAAATGAAGGGGCAGCCAATGCCGCACCCACCGCCTTCCTCCCACCCGAGCCTAGAGCGCTCGGGCCCAGAGCCTGCCCGGCACTGTGTGCAGCAGAGAAGGAGACCACGGCCAGGGTGGCCCAGGTTCTGTGGGTGCTGAGAGAGGGGGAGCTGACCTGAACCCCAGCCTTGGGTTCCCGCCCGGGTCCTCAGCCCTGCTGGGCTGGAAACCCAGCCTTGCGGGGGGGGGGTGTGGGGTGT